AGGAGGTATGTAGAGCAAAGGTACTGCAATTATAGAACTATCTACTGATGATAATCATACTCAACAAACATTAAAATAAATAATAAATATTTTAAACAAACATTACACAGACATAGGACAGAATAAAATTCTCCTATTTATAAATTAAGGATCTTGTATAATTTATCTTAGATCTAAAAAGTTTTATTGTTTTGCTTTTAATTTTTGACCACAAAAAAGGCAAAGACCTTGTCTATAAAATGAATTTTCGCCATGCTCAGAAAACACAACACACTTTCTTGCTTTAGAGGCTTGAAGCTTCCTATCAGCTTTGCTGCGCAATTCAAAACATTTTAGAACAAGACGCAACTTCTGCTTATGATTTCTTACTGAATGCAACTGTCTTAATTCCTTAATTATGCTATTATGCAAACACTCTCCCTCCTCTTCACTCTGAAGCCCAATAGTTTTATGGAATTTTACAAATAGTGGCACTTTAAAAACAAGTTCATGCATTTTTTGCATGATACTTTCTTTTGGAAAGCAAGCATGAAACTCAATATTAAATAAATTTATATATTGATGAAGCTCAGTAATTTTGCCTACAAGATGATTCCATAATAAACGCAAAGCTTTTGCTGTTTTAGAAAATTCAACGCTTTTAGCAGCACACGATTTATTTGTTCTTACATTCTCATTATGCAACAAAGAAGAATCAGCTTGACAATCTAAAGTCTTACACTCCTTCAACAATAACTTATTCAGTTTTAACACAACTCTTAACATAATATACAAAACAAGTGGCACTACATTATCTAAAGTTATTATGGAGAAAATCGCAGGAACAATAATTGAATTATGAAACTTACCTTGAGCTCTTAAGTTTCCACCTTGTCTACCTTCACAAAATTTCCAGAGATTGTATTGTTCTCCTTAATATTACAATTAGGAGGTGTGTGAGGCATAGAAGCATGGTTTCTTAGAGAACTCTACTCAACTAGGTCTGCAGAACCAGGAAAGCTAGCAGCTTAACCCTAGTGTCCCAGAACATCATTGATGAAATGAAAATCTCCACCTAAGAATAACATGACTATTTTGCCTTATAGCTTAAAATCAGAACAAAATTATATATATATATATATATATATATATATATATATATATATATATATATATATATATATATATATATATATATATATATATATATATATATATATATTTTTAGCATGTTTACATTAGGCACATTTTCTCAAACTCATCATTATTAGGTATATCAAAATCAATTGGCATAAGAAAGCTCATAAAACTAAATAAATAGCTTCTTATTTTAAAGACTGTCTTTAAAATGGAAATGACATTATTAGTGATCTTATCTGCCTTAATTAATCGCTTAACAAAAGAAAGTTACACTTATCTTCCCAACCATTTTCCTGTTAATTAATAGTTTGGGACATAAGGCATAAAGGTTACATCATTGCAATAAAATGTCAACACAAATGTATGCATAAAACTTTTCATTTACATAAAAGATTGAAATTTCAATAACTTATTTCATTTATCATTTATGTTTTGCATTTAAAAACAATAAATTAAAAGATACATATGGTTTAAAATGTCTTTTTGTAAAAAAATTACCAGGATGACGTAGGAATCTGATATAATGGACATACATTGCTAAGTGTTACAAATTTCAACTATCAAGCACAGAGCTATGTTATCAAATCTTAGTTGGCCCAACTCAGGTTTTTCGCAAAATATGCAAAAATCAGAAAAGCGGTTCTAAATAATTAAAATATTTTAGCAATATTTATTTTTATTCCACTAAATGTAAATATTTATTTAACAAGAAAAGATATATCTTTTATAATTTTATTATTTGAAGATGCAAGCATTTATAGAAAAAAAGTTACTATTATTTTAAAGTTGGTGAATTTTCATACTTTTTATGCTGAACTTTTTTTGATAAAGTCATGATGTCACGCTCGTTTTTATATTGAGTGTTGCCGTGCTGATTAGCTGATGATATTTGTTAATCCAAAAGATTCTTGCAACTAAAAAACTTTAAAAAAAATCTTTGAGTTCTGTTTAATAGTTAATTATATATATATATATATATATATATATATATATATATATATATATATATATATATATATATATATATATATATATATATATATATATATTTAAATAAATAACAGAGATATTGTGTTACAACATTTATTTATTTTATTTTGATGTAAGTGAACTTTATAGCAACATTTAATTTTTTTTTATGTTTGGTTATATTTATATAATGATTTTCCGTTTTTATTAAATATTTACCAATTATTATTTCACATACAGTTGTTTCTAATTTAAATGAATAAATTCTTGATCGCTTTATTGACTATGTAAAGTATAGTAAAAAAATAATAATAAAAGACTTACACTAAAGCAGCAAACTTTCTAATATGCTCGCAAACTTTCTTTAAATCATGAAGAAAAAAAAATGCTAAACTCAAATGCAAACATTTTTTACTAGAAAAATGCTATTATATCTAGCTATTATATCAGTCAGATATGATTAAAAGATAATGGTTAAAAAGTTGATGAAAAATTCCAAAAATTATGTAAAAATAAAGTGTTTTTAAAATATTTGATAAATACTGAACTTTCAAATGCTGCAAGATCAGGTTATGCACAAAACCAATATTATTTTAAAAACCAACTAAAAGACTATAGTCAGTCTTTTAAATTGTCACTTATCTATTTTGTTAGTTGCTCATATGAAGAAATGCAATTTTAATTAACTATAGTCATACACTATACCAGTTTAGTGGTAGACACCATCTTTGTTTTGTTCATATGACCATATGACTCTTTTGAACCATTTGACTCTCAGCACTTAAAAAAATATGAAAACAAGTTTATACCAACATTTTTTGTTATTTAAGCTATGTTATCATTATTTGTTATTTGTTGATCCTGTCTATGGAAAATTTTGGGATAAAGCTTATTTGAAAGATACATGGATTGTTTGCATTAGAGGAAATAATGACTGAATTTTTTTAGGACTTTAAAATAATCATACATGCACTAGTGTTGTTAGAGATGCAGCAATGATAGGCTTAAAATAATACTTGTTATTTGTCTGAACACCTGATTGGCTTTGTTTTTTTTTGCATTAATTTTTATACAAAAGCTGTCAGCATAAAAAGTTACCTTATTTGAAATGGGAAGGACATATTTATTTGAAATGGGAAGGACATATTTATTTGAAATGGGAAGGACATATTTATTTGAAATGGGAAGGACATATTTATTTGAAATGGGAAGGACATATTTAGCCATATTTTTCTTTATATAAGGCCAAATTTTTCTTTTGATGCCACCTTTATTTTGGCAAATATAATCTATATATATTTAGTTCAAGAAAGAAGAGAGTTGAAAAAATGAAAGATGAAAATTGTTGGTGGCTATGCAGAGAGAGAGAGAGAGATTTCTCTTTGCAGACCTTTGACTCTTCTATAAGGAAATATTAAATGCTTAAGCAATACCTATTGTGAGTTGTCAGCAGTTACTGGAAAGTTTTCTCAGAGCCACCAATGTTTAAAAAAAGTCTAAGTCTAATAAACAAAGTTTTGCATTCAAATTTGAGTTTATATCAGAATATTTGTAACCCCTTAAAGTCTTAAGTTTTTTTTATTAAGTTAAAAAATTAATTGTTTATATATATGTGTGTGTGTGTGTGTGTGTGTGTGTGTGTGTGAGCAATTCTGCAAGAAAGAGGGGGAAAAAAAAAATCAAAAAAGTCATGAAACACATACTAAACTCCATAACTCTTTTTTTAAACTATTTTAAAATACTTTTAAGCAAAAAAGTTATTTAAAAAAATCATTTTATCATACTATATCATGGTTTTTAAGTTGTAAAGATTGTATAAACGTATTTTGATGCTTATTTACAGTCATGTTGAGTAGCATTAAAAATCATATCGTATATCCATAATTAAAAACTTTGATAATGTTATAGTGCATTTTTTTATACTTCTTTATATTTTTTACTATTTTTTTACTCTGCTTGTTTTTAATATACTTAGTTTAGTTTGCTTATTTTTAATACACTTATAAACAAGCAAAGTAAGAACTTTTAAATATTATATTTTAGGATCACCAAAAGAACATTCATGTAAAGCTGATCCAATAATTTTTAATGCTACCCTTAGAATGGGTATGCATTCTGGTTTATTCACTAAACTTGGCAGAGTGAAGCAAATGGATGACTGCATTGAGCGTTGTTGTCATTCTTCAAATGCAGATGTGGCATATATGTTAGGACCTTTTTGTTTTGCTGTAAAATGTAAAACAAAAGAAATGTGTAAGCCTTCACCAGCAATGTATTCTGATATTAAAAGCCTCAATCTGAATCCTGCCATATCTTTTTTAAACAAGCCTGGTTTGTTAGGTTTATCAGGTAAATTTAAAAAAACTATTTTTATAAGGGTTTAAGTGGTCAAACTTCAATACAAAATGTTATATTTAAATATGTTTTCAAATGGGATCAGTTCTGTCTACCATATTGTCCTAAAGGTCATTTGTATTGTCATATGAAAGCTTTTTGTTTATTTGCTTTGGTATTTGTTATTTATTTATTTGTTTTAAAGACCACTGTGTGGTAAGTTTAGGGAATTCCAGTAGAATTAGACATTTAGTTTCTTTAGTTTGTGAATATTTATGTTTATGTACTGCTTATTTCCAATTTTTCTTATCTTATTGTGATTATTTTTATCTCTATTAAGTTTATAATTATATTACAGACATTGACAATGACAAGAATGTACTTGATACTGTTTTTGACAGTGTTAATGATACTGAAGACCTAATACAACAAGTTAAAGCAAACCTTACACAAGAATACTTGACAGAGCAAGAATACTTAACAGAGCACATAAACAAAACAAATAACTATTCAACAACTTCAACCTTGGTTCCTACCATATTTGATCAAAAAAATAAATCTTCGCAAGAAAAAGGTGAAATATTGATTCTGTAAATATACAGTTCACATTCACTAAATGCATAATGAATATAATATAAATATAGTATCTAATATTAAATAATAGTTTATTAAATGCATATATATATATATATATATATATATATATATATATATATATATATATATATATATATTATATATATATATATATATATATATATATATGTATATATATGTATATGTATATATATATATATATATATATATATATATATATATATATATATATATATATATATATATATATATATATATATATATATATATATATATATATATATATATTCATATTATGTTCATAAAGCAACCATTAGGTAGAAAACAAATGTTTCTAAAGAAAAAGCAATATGTATTCCATACTGCAATTGTGACAACAGTAATGCCACAGTGTTAATTGTTAATTTAGTACCATTAAAATACTAATTCTATTTTATGTTAATTAAAAGTATAATTCTTAAAGGGTTATACAAAAGGTTATACTTTAAAAGGACTTTTAACTTATCCTAACTAGATTATATTTAACTGAAACAGCTTCACCATTTTTATTTTACACAACAAGTTGAAACAACAGAAACCTCTGGAAATAATAAAAGAATATAAAGTTCTTAACTCCTTTATGTTTATAAATTGTTTAAATATATTTATAGTAAAAATATTATGCTCTAAAATATTTATAAACAAAATACCTTTAAAGTTATAGCTAGACAAAAAATCATAGGATGCCAAAATAAAAAATTAGGGTCTAAAGATTGAGAAAAACCCTGCAATATACCCTGCAACTTACCTTGCAATATACCCTGCAACTTACCCTGCAATATACCCTGCAACTTACCCTGTAATAACTCAGTAAAATGAAGTATTTATTTGAATGGGTATCATTAAAATTTATTGACTTTATTGTACCTATTACCTGACAAACAACTCTCAATAACAAAAATAGTTACTTGCTACAGTTGGCATATTTCTTTTTGGTCCAAAATGGACTAACTGTTTTAGTATGAATAATAAACTTTGTTTTTTTAGGCTAATAATAAATCATAACATGATTTTTTTTCATTAATCAATTCCAATCTACATATTTAGAGAGCTTTTGAAGATTTTTTTTATTGAGTATTCTTCTATACTACTAGAACAGGAAAGAGTTTTTTTTTATCTCTACCTGTATCTAAACATGCAGTTCTTTTTACAAAGTTCTTAATTTCTAAATTTACTAGCTTAAGTAAGTTTTTGGTTGCCAAAATGTAATTATTATGTATCTAGATCAGTTTTAGGCTATTCAAATTTCAGATTTTTTTCATTTATCATTTTCTGTTTATAAGTTTATATTAATTTTGATTTTTGTTCTTGTTTAAGGAAAGTTTTTATTATGGCGTTTGTAATTGATTATTGAAGTTAACTTGTTAATTTTGTTTTGAGGAAACTTTATTTTACTTAATCCCAACAATGCGATCATTATTTAAACCGAAAGTTTTTAGGTAAATAAATAAGGTAAGTAAATAAATAGACCGTTTAAAAAACAAAATGTAAAATGTAAAAATTTTTATTTTTCATAACAAATTTTAATTTTAATTTTCTATTCAATTTTAGAGGCACTTTGAATTTTTAAAAATAGCACAATTTGCATAGTTAAAAAAAGTAATTAAAATAGTTTAATTAGTAATGTAATTTTACAATTTGTTTTAAAGCATATTGCCAAGTTAGAACGCATTATTATTTTTATCACAGTATCAGTTTTTTTGATTACAAGAGTAATCAGTATGACCTTTGAACCTATTCTTTTTAATAACATTTTGCTTAAGTGTTATTAAAAACTTAACTTTATTATTCTTTTTTTTTCTGTTGGAGATTTTTTTTTTTTATTTGGATTCATTCCCAACAAAGCTGCAAGCAACCACTATCAAGTTGGGAGTTATTAGAAAAAAAGAATAGAGTTACAGAGCATGGTAACGGTTTACAGAAGACTTAAAAAGTCAAAGGTTGTATGAGTAAGGAAAACATGAAGATGGGAGAGAGTTCCAAAGGGTTACATGCAGAAAAAAAAAACTAGACAAAAGTTTTTAAAGCATGAGGGAAAAAATACAGTAAAAGAAAGAAACTTTACTGAATGACAAGTCAAGTGAGAATCAGTTTTGGTTGATCGAACTAGAGATAATAGCTCATTTGAGCAGCAACCATGGTAGTATTTGTAGAAAAGAGAAAGAGATCCAACTTTATGACAATGGGAAAGAGGCTCAACCTTAGCAGATAGACCATGTCCAAGTATGTTTACAATGCGTTTTTGGACCTTGTCTAGAAGAGAAAGAGCATCCTGTTAATTAACCTTAACCTTGTAACATAGGGCTCATTATGTGGCTTGGACAATGCGCACCAAAAGCATTAATAGGAATACCATCCATGCACAGCATTGCACTATTAATACTCTGATATTTTGCAGCTGTTGATGGAATCAACCTCTCTGAGAGCTACCACAGAGTTTTGGAAACCTAACTACCAGCCAGCCTCAGAACCATTAAACTGAATTTTAGATCTGTACCCTCATTAGGAGATAACAGGTAGAATTGCATTGTCACTATTAAGGAGGCACAAACAAAAACCCATGAGAAGATCAAGAAGATCCAGCATTCTTCATCCTAGGTAGGAAACAATGTAACACAGGTTTACATTTATGCCATCCTAATAGATGAAGAAAGAGTTTGAGGCTGGTCAACAGAATTATTCTGCTTCCCCTAAAGTCTTTGCATATGAGGCCTCCTACAAGACATTAGCTAGATGCAGTTAACATCTGCCCAAGATAAGTATTTTTGTCAGAGTTTGTTCTCCTAGCCTTTGCCTAAAAAAGTACACTCTACAAAGCAGCAAGGTATGGGGCAGGCAGTACTGGGTTGCATAATACCAGTAGCAGGTGATCATGATGATCCTTAACCTGACCTGTAATTAAAAGGAGCTATTTCCTGCAAACAGCACCTTAAAACATCTGGCATGATATTTTGGAAATGCATTAGGAAATATTACACCCAACAAAATACTAGAGATAAGGTTGAGCGTAGGTTTTATAGTTGGAGTGTCAAATTAATTAATGCATCAAAACAGGTTTAAACATTTAAACAGAAGACATACATGCACAAAGTAACTTATGAGTGAGTAAACACCACGCCAGTGGTAAAGACAGAACAGAAACATACATATAAACATAAACAGACAGAACACCAACATACAGATAGCAACTTGCAAGTGAGTAAACACTGCGCCAGAGGTTCAACAGAACACAAACATTCAGATAGCAACTTATGAGTGAGTCAATACCTGTATGCTAGTACTGGTAGACTATGAGTAAACTACTAGATTACTAGTATGCTAGTATTAGTAGGCTATAAGTAAACTAATAGATTGCTACTATGCTAATACTGGTAGACTATGAGTAAACTATTAGATTACTAGTAAGCTAGTACTAGTAGACTATAATAACTATTAGATTACTAGTATGCTAGTATTAGTAGACTACAAGTAAACTATTAGATTACTAGTTTGCTAGTTCTGGTAGACTATGAGTAAACTATTAGATTACTAGTATGCTAATACTGTAGACTATGAGTAAATTGCTAGATTACTAGTATGCTAGTACTGATAGACTAGTTGTCTAATATCTTATTAGTATTTTAACAACATCAATTTAAAAAACTATATTTATAATCATTCAAACAATAAATATTTAATTCCCAAGAAAATATTTTTTTAATGTTTACTTCTTTTGCTCTTTTTTCCAAAAACAAACTTTTAAAATTGGTTTTTAATCTTTTGGCATTATTTGAATGTTCAAAAATTAGTATTTTATTCTAATTCTCCTTTATAATCTATATTTTATTATAATTCTTTTTATAATCTCTATTTTATTTTAAATCTCCTTTATAATCTATATTTTATTATAATTCTCTTTATAATCTCTATTTTATTTTAAATCTCCTTTATAATCTATATTTTATTTTAGTTCTCCTTTATAATCTATATTTTATTTTAATTCTCCTTTATAATCTTTATTTTATCTTAGTTCTCTTATCTTCTTTATCATCCTAATCTTAATTACCAGTATTCACTATCATCTTGTTTTTAAATAGATACAGTAGTGGTGAAGTGTAACTAAATGACTATTTTGTTTGAAATAAATAATAATTATGGAATATTTTTTAATTAATTTTTTACTAATTTAATTGTTTACAAGAAAGCACTAATTATTTAATTATCAATAAACTTAAAAGCAATAAAATATAATAATAAATAATAACAATAAATAGTAAACAAATGTAATAAAGTTGATGTATAGTAATAAAACATTAAAATTCACTTTAATAATGAGAAAGACCATACAAGATGTTACTGTGGATAAAAATACTAATTTATTTTTATTATAAAATTTATAAACAACAGACAATTTATGAATTACAGACCATCAATAGAGGATGGAACACAGACCATCAATAGAGGTTGTCCTTGTTATAACATTAAACTATTTCTATATAAGGACAGTTTCAAGACTGAAAATCAAGTCCTGTCCATTTTTGGAACAAAATTTTTCGAAATTTTGTTAAAAAAATGAATTTCATAAAAAAAGAGTTTATTTGCTATATCTGCATGAATACTTTAAACTATATAAATAATCAGTTGAATATGCGCTAAATAAACATGTGCTAAAAATTGTTTTCTTAGAAATGGAAATATTTTTTGATATATATATATATATATATATATATATATATATATATATATATATATATATATATATCAACCCTTGGAATTAGGATCGGCATTCGGCGATGCCAACCTAACTAAAAGTGTTGCCGAAAATGAAGTCGGCAAAGAATTGCTGACCTCATTTCTATGTTTTATGGTCAGACCTTTGTATCAAATAATTTTTGCTGACCTGATGCTGACCTCAAAAAGATTGAGGTCATTCAAAAAGATTGAGATTAAGGTCGGCAAATTATCGCCGACCTAATTTTTCCTAATTCCAAGGGTTAATATATATATTTATATAAATTATTATAAATCACTTTATATAAACTTTTTTAATTTTACTACTAGTTTATTATTGTATATATATTAATATATTTATTATTATATATTATATTATTATTATATATTATATATTTATTGTATGTATATATATTAATATATTTATATGTATGTATGTATATATATATATATATATATATATATATATATATATATATATATATATATATATATATATATATATATATATATATATATATATATGTATATATATATTTTGAAAAAAAAATGAAAGTTGAATTTAACTGTTTTGTTTATAATGTTAGGTCAAAGTCAAACAAATAGTAATGAAAAAGGAATATGTGCTGACAGCCCAATAAATTACAATGTCACACTTCGAGGTGGAGTTCATTCTGGTAAGTTTTTTAAACATTTGTTGCCTGTTGATAAATTAGACAAGCTAACAAAATGGAATATGTTAGCCATTGGTTTTTTGATAAACCTGTGTATAAATTATGCTTATTATTTAAAATGTCATTGTTTTTTTACATAGAAAGGATGTTGATAATTTGAATGGTATTTAATGATTTTTAGAAGTTAATTACTTATTATTACAGGAAAATTTATTGAGCTTGGAGAAGGAATCAATATGCGTGAATGTGTTTCAAAATGTTGTGATACTCCATTGTGCGATGTTGCTTTTATGTTTTCTGATAAATGCTATGCAGTTGGTTGCTTTGATGAGGCCAGTTGCCAGGCAGTAATAGCAAAACCTTCTAATTTAAATCCAAAACTGGCATATGTGACAAAATACAGACCAAATACAGTTTTATCATTGGATTCAGCTACCTCAGGTAAATTTTTGTTTATTAGGTAATATTTACAGAATTTTCAACTTTAAGGTTGATTAACTTGCATAAATTGAAATGTTTCCAGGTTCCTATTTTTTTTGTAGTGTCAGCTTTTTTATAAATAAGCTTTCTTTTGCATCATACTCAAACCACCTTTACCTTTACTGCAACACCCTACTACACTCTATTAGACACACTATTTTTAAACATATATAGATTGATTTTTTGAAGATTTTTTGTTTGTTTGTTTATTTTTCTTTTGAAATTGCATTTGTATTTCGTGTTTAGCTTTGCGTATAACTTTTATTTATTTATGTCAGGTATTCTATTTGACATTAACAATGAGAATCCCAAAACATGTGATCCTGAAACTATTGAGCACGGACCAGTTCATGTTAACAAAACATTATCTGGTGGAATGAAATATGGCTACTACTCTTACCTTGGAAAAGCTTAGTAAGTTGTTGCTTGTTTACATATAAAAAGAGTTTGTTTACATTTAAATAATAAGAAGCAGCACACAGCTTTTGATCACTAACATTCAATTTTCAACATATCTGTTGAGACTTTCTGTAAAGTTGATTTAAACAAGTTAAACATAACAATACACAGCCCGAGATGTCATAATATAAACTTTAGTTAATTGTGTTAGATAAATAGAATTTTTTTTTTAATGTTAAGTAAACATTAAAAAAAAAATGCTAATTTAACATTAAAATTCTGTACAAAAAGTATACCTAAAAAAGTCATCATTAAGCTGCCAAGTAATCTCTGGTTAAACAAAATACTCACAAGTTAAATAGTGTGAGTGTTCACCAGGTTTACACTTATATTTCCAGTTTTATTAATCTATTTTTATAAGTTAAATTTTTAATTTTTTGTTGCTCTTTCTTTATCTCTGCCATTCTTGTTTGGTTGAATCTTTTTATAGCTTTAGATATTTTAGTTTAACTACATTTTTTTAAGCTTTTTTTTAAATTTAATTCAATTAAAAAAAAGACAGCAGGCAGTATATAATTTTTTTTTTTAATCTATACTGATCTAATTAGTGATCAACCAAGTACTTTTTACAAAATCAGTAAGAAACAAAATTTTCCTTGAAAACATACTAAAAACCAAAATATTTTCTAAGATTTCAAATTTTATTTAAAGTATGCAATTTTTACAAAATATTTTACCATTCCTAAATGACACTTTAGGCCAATTGTTCACAAATTATTTAATTTTTTAGTTAGCAAATAGCAAATATAAAAACCGCAAAAAATCAAACCATTGCAGTGTCTAGAATATTGAACTAATAACATTTTGTTTTAAAAAAATGTTGAAAGTGAACAAGGATAATAGATCTAATTACATATTGGTTATATTTTGCTGACCTATTGTGATCAGTTTCAGAGTTATTGAGTTGAGAGAGGGTGGAAGCAACAATTAAAAAAAAAAATTATAATGATAAAGTACCTCAACATTAAGTAGCATCCTTGGTCTTGGGTAGGTAAGTAACATTGAAAAAATAAAGGAATGCTCATATTTTTACATTACTGCAGCACCATCATTAGCAGACACAATTATTAAATCTAACCCAAAATCTGTAAATTTTGTGTTTGGCTAATTCTTATATATGTGCAACTCTATTTTTAATTATTACAATTATGTATCTTTTATTGGTTCTGCTGGTATATTCATCAATAAAGTTTTTCTAACAATTATTGGACAAGTAGGTCAGTCTTTTCTTTGCAATGACATTGTTGCATTGGTTGGACACATCCTTGACCAACGTGATATTCCACTAGGTGATTATGTGATCAAAGCAGATATTGATGAAGACTTTGAGTTTGTATAAATAAATTGAATAACCAATAGGGAAAAATAAAACATAACTTTACCTACTACCAAGATATATATATATATATATATATATATATATATATATATATATATATATATATATATATATATATATATATATATATATATATATATATATATATATATATATATATATATATATATATATATATATATATATATATATATATATAAGAATTTCTAGAACGGTAGCCGATGGTAACCGAACGGTAACGGTAAACGATGTCAATTGTTTTATCTGAAATTTCAGTAAAAATTTTTTTATAAATTATGGAATTGTGAAGAAGCTGTTCAGAAATGGGAAGATAAAAATTAACAATATCATATTGTACAAAAACACAGTTTTTTTTGTCATTGATATCATGAAACCATTTTAAAACGTCATTTGTACTATGCCATTGGTGCACAAGGGTAGCATTTCTAATTTTTTTGTTAATACCATCTAGTAAAGTTTTGCTGACTTTTCTAGTTTAAGTTCAGGGTTAATTAAGCAGCACTGAGCTTTATTGGCAAAGTTCTCTTCTTTAATGGTAATGAATGCTGTTGTCATAGCAAGGCGTTCTAATCGGTCGTCAGTACTCAAATTTGTTGCTATTACTTTAGCTTCCATGTTAATATTGTTGTATTAAGTAATATCAGACTTTTTAAGTTTTATAAGTTTTAGTAATATTATCAATATAAAAATTCTCATATGAAAGCTTTCCAAATGAGAAACTTTATATCAATATTTCATTAAGATTTTGAGTTTTATCTGCAAAAATGAACATATTTTTCAAAAGATTTTATTTTAGTGTGATTATTTAATTGAAAATAGTGAAATTGTTCAGAAAAATAAAAATAAATTTCTTTACTATAGCAACAATCTGACTTCTCCTGAAGACTGCACTCATTGGCTTAATTAAAAACAAATAAATAATAACATTGGTAAACATGGCATTGGCTGGAAAAAGACTTTTTTTTGCTTAATCACTAAGCTGTAAATTGTACATATTTACAAAAATCATGTTTAAATACTTTACAGACTATTTGTTCAAAAGTATAAAAGTAAAATTGCTGCCAATTGATGCTTAAATTTAAAAGTCTATGAAGATATAGTACAATACTGACTTATTAAGTACTAAGTATTTGATGCCAATTTGTGTACCATTTGATGCTATTACAGATGCTAAATTTATTAATAATAATTGCTGATTGCTTAGTTAGAAAAAGGAAGACAACAACTAACAGAAAAGGAAGACCAACTTTTTCATATATCAAAAAAGAAATTGTAGAGTAAAAAAAATCGGAAGGCTCAATAAGCACAATTTTCATTAGTGCAAACTTACATTAGCGCGAAGCGTTGTAAAAACTGGCATAAGTGTGAATTGGCATAAGAGTGACAAAAGAAATTTACAAACATTGGCATATGTGCAAACTGGCATAAGTGCGAAGTAGTTGCAAAAACTAGCACAAGTGCGAATATATGCCATTCACACTTATACCAGTTTGCACTTATGAAATTTGTGCTTATTCAGTTGACCCAAGAAAATGTGTTCCAAAAGTCCCATAATTTTGATAATAGTTTTTAATTCAGTATATCATTAACTGTAATATTTAGTTATTTAATTATTTAGTTAATTTATTTTTGGTAAAAAATAAATTCACTAAATTTGAAAAAATATTTTTTTTGTTTAATTAAAATCAAATTAAGAATTGAACAGAAAATAAAAAATTTCAATGAAATTTTTTTGAAATGAAATTTCAAAAAAAAAAATTATTTTTCTTTGGAGAGGGAGAGAATATATATATATATATATATATATATATATATATATATATATATATATATATATATATATATATATATATATATATCTGTGTGTGTGTGTGTGTGTATATGTATATATACATATATATATATCATATATTTATATATGATATATATATATATATATATATATCATTTTATTTAAATATAGTGATATTAAAAGTTGTCTCAGTAAGTGCTGCGAGTCAGGAAAATGTGACATGGCTTATTTAGTAAACAAAGAGCAGTGTTTCTCTGTCAGATGTTTAACACCTGAGCTATGTGAAATAAATGATCATCCTTTTAAAAATAAATGGATTGAAATTTCAGCACTTGTAAAACATTCAGAAACAAAGAAAAAAAAATATCAAGCAGGTAAATTTTTGATTTTTTATGAAATGGATTTTTTTGTTTATTTCCTTTTTAGACTTATTTTAAAATTGTTTGTCATTTTATCTTCACACTTTTTAAAACTAAAAAAACCTTCTTTTTTTTCTAGTTAAGTGTTATTTAAAATGTTTAAGGGGCCTGGTGATAAGACTGAGTTTGTCTTCTTTTTGCCCCAGGGGAAAAAGAAGACAAAAAATATTTTTTATCAAAAGAAGACATCATTTACATTTTTTGTTTAAATTTTGTAAATTTTTCTTTATTGCAAAATACATAATAATGTTAAAAAATAAAGACATAAACAATTATATTATAAAAATTAATAATTTTTAGTATCTGTCTTACCTTTGCTGCTTGTTTCTTTGGTTGTTATGACAGCTGGTTTAACAGGTTTAATTTGGGCTATCCTAATATTTGTGAGACGGTGAGTAATAATTTTAAATTTTTCTAATTTGTTTTTTTAATTTGTCAATTTTTCTTTTTTATAATAATCAGATTGAATGATTTAAAAAAAAAAAATTGGTTGATAAAATTATAACATGGTTTTTTTATGATATACGTGTCCTTAATTCTTTGGCTATTATTACCTCTTACTATTAACAACTGAGATTTTCACTTTTTTCTCGACTTTTACAGTAACATTGGCCATTCATCATTGATCGTCATAAATCTACCTTCTTATTTTTTTAATATTAAATTATATCTTCAGATTTCACTGCTGGACATTTAAACACTGAGGCATGTTCTTTACTGATTTGTTTTAATCTTTAATTATGGACTTCTTGTTATTTAAGCAGATAGAAATTTATTAAAAACATTCATTTTAATAATTAATTCAATTTAATAACAACCAGTTTAATTTAATTTCAATTTTTTTTCTAAAATTGCCTAAAAAATAAATATTACTTTTTTTTCTTCTAATTTTTGTTTGACCAAATTATATGTTATTGATAAAATGCTGTTTTTAATTTGATTAGAAATAATTTTTTTTAACTATGTTATTAACTAGTTAAGCACTTGGTTTGATCCACAACTTGGTTTGATCCACAAACTTTAATTTTTTTATATAAATCTTTGTTATTGTCAAAAATTTGATATTTTCTGAGTACTCATATCTTTTGAATTTGAACATCTCATCTGATATTTCAATAGGATTAATGACATATTATTATATATCACTTTACTTTTGGTTATTAGCTCTACATGTTGAATCACATTATTTGCTGTTGGAGAACCATCTTTGTTAGATTTAAAATTTTTATTAAAAACTTTTTGGAGTGAATTAAGTGTAAAAAGCTTTTAAATTTATTTCTGATCTTTAAATGTAATCTAAATACTAATCAAAACACTTGGCTGTATTTACTTGATGCATTTTAAATACATAGTGTATTAGTCTTTTTGATACCAAAATAATGACACCTAAGCTTCTTAACCAATATATAAAATTTTGAATAAGCAATTGATTCCAAATATTTTTAGCTCATTTTCACTAAATTTCTTGCTGGCATTGTGTGTCTTTTTTCCTTCTAATCTTATTTCTACTAGTCTTTTCATTTCCTCAATGCCAGTAAGTTTCATGGAGAATTTGCATTTTGTCTGCTTCTGACTGCATTCCTTTAGATGTAATTTCTGACCAACTGGTCCAAAATCCGAAAAGGTCCAAAATTGTATAGTAAATCTTGTTGATGCTCAAATGAGCTATCACTTCTATGAGCTATCATTTCAAGTTCCATCAACCCAAACTAATTTTCGCCTGACTCCTCATTTAGCAAAGTTGCATCCTTTTACTGTATCTGTCCCTTCATGCTTTAAAAATTTTCATCTGACTAGTTTTTTTATATACCTATCAATGATTTGGAAACCTCTCTTCCATTTTCATTTTTTTAATCACAATCTTCAACTTTTCAAGTATTCTCCCTAAACTTAATAGTGGTACCTTTTTTTGGGAGAGAATTAGTATTTTTTTAAAATAAGATAAATAAAATAGATACATTTAAATAATATAAGATAACCTCTTTATTGTATTATTTTACAGTGTAATTGTTAATTGTGAGTGTTAGTTGTTTAGGGAGAATTTCGGTCATACATAATTATTTGAATATTTTTTCTGAGTGTATCCTTACTTACATAATGCTAAATGATTAGTACTCCAAGGGATTTGTTGATGGCAGCTATTAATAAAGAACTTAATTTAGTGTTATTAATAACAAGCTTAATAACAACATTGATTTCATTATTTGATATACTTGTCAGATTTTTAAATTAGCATAATTTTTCAATATCCTTATAAAAATGTCATTACTACTAATTTCGATTAGATTCTTGCTTTTCACAAGTGAAGTCAAACCAAACCAATTTTGAAAAAATAAAAAATGTTTTACTCTTTGTGATATACTGCCACTACATTTTCCTGTTTGGTGACCTTATAATATAATATATGTTTTAATAAAATGTATACTAGATCAAATGCTAGAGTATAATACAGAGTAAACTATAATACTAGAGCACAACACAACAAATTGTAGTACTACAATTACTACACATAGTTAACTATAATACTAGAAAACTATATTTTATTACATAATAAAAAAAGTACAGTTATTTGTTTTTATTTCATTTTATAAAAAGGTTTGAAATTTTTAGACATAAAACAAAGAAGCAAAATGAAAAAACAAATGACGATGAAGATGATGGTATTCCTCGACCAGAGAGATAAAGTCAAAAAATAGAAGAAATTTTTGCAGGATAAAAGATTTTTAAAAATTAAAACAGAAAAATTTGTTTACAGAAAATAAGATATGGAATGATAGATGGAATGAAAATAATATTGGAATAATAATAATGAGAATAAATGAAAATAATATTTGGAATGATAGCAAGCACATCTGATAAAAGTATTTGAACCATTTGATTAAAATTTTAAAATAAAGTGTTTAATGTATATATCAATAAAGTTTGATAAACTATGATGTATTTAAAGTTCGGAAGTCATCAAATACCGCTAAGATGGCAAAAGAAAAAATTCCTGTTTTCATTATTTTCTTGTTTACAAAGTGACCGACTTTATTCATAAAAAAGTTATTTATATATTTATGAAAGTTAGTTCAAGAATCACTGTTCCGTGTTCAGTTTCACTGTTAATAAAATGACGAGCCTTATTCATTAAAACAATGCAATGGCGATTGTTTTTAGTTAGAATAAAAAACGAGCATAAAAAGTTATGCAACAAATTAAAAAATGGTAAACTTATAGTTTGAGCTCCCAAATAAAATTAGTAATGAAGAACTTGTTTATAAACTGACAACTTGTTCATAATGACCTTGTATTTACAATGCTGAGCTAAGTTTTACCGATGAAATTGTTTATACGATGAGAAACTTTAATTCAAGGAAAACTTGTTTATACGATGACAAACCTTAGTTTAAGGAAAACTTGTTAATAAGATGGCAAATCTTAACTTAAGGAAAACTTGTTTATACGATGACGAGCTTAGTTCATTGAGAACTTGCATGGGCGATTTTTTTAAGTTTGATTTTCAACAGCGTTTTTGTTTTCTTTTTTAAATGTTAATGTATGTTTTCAATTTTTGTTATTTTTATAACATTTTGTGATGTTGTACACTTTCTTCTACATGCATGCATTCACATCCGCCAAATTTTTTATGACTTTTTTTTTTCTTCATCAAATTGAAGATATTTTTTAGCAGCTAAAAGTTTTTTAAAAATTGTTGAAAATTAAAAAAATTTTTGCAATTTGTTTTGCCGCGAAAAGAAAAATGTCATTTCTTTGCAACCCAATATATTTAGTGTTAAATATTACTGACGCTGAAAGTGTATTTAGTTTTTCAGAATATAGTTTTTATATATGTGTATATGTTGAAGGTACTGTAAATATAAACTCAAAGTAGATTTTGTTTATTAAATTGTTTTTTTTTATCAATTATGTATTGCTTTAAATTTTCAAAATTAAATCTTCGCCATTAGTTCCCAGCTTTATGATGGCCAAATTCTTAAAGATATCACTGGGTTACTAAAGCTGGTGCAACTTGGCGTTTTTAATTAACAGACAATTCTGCGGTGTTAATCGTAAAATAGGTTAATCAATTATTAATTCGGACTAATTTTGAAGTGCTGTTTTTAAAAAGTATTAAGTTCCGCAGAATTTTTTTGTTAACAGTTTTTAAACCGTTGCTGCAGAAAACCCCATTGACATAAAAAAAATGTAACACTTAAATTCTTTTAAAAATATAAGTTGCATTATTTGTAAAAATTCTTAGGTGTAGAGTGGAGCATCACGGGATACTTAAGAAACAAATTCTAGGTGTAGAGTGGAGCATCACGGTATACTTAAGAAACAAATTCTAGTTGCGGATAAACTAATCATAGTTAACACTTTTTTTATAAATTTCCTAAAATTCATTGATATAAGAAAACGAGATAAAAAAAAAAAAATTCTCAAAATCACTTACGACAACCACAGTAACAAAACTCTAGACTAGCAAAATTTTTACATTTTGCAAGTGGGTGGGGACAAACAGGATAGTTAAAAAGCAACAGTTATTTCTTAATTATAAAGCTTTAAAAGTGCTAAAAATGAAAGCTACCGATCATTTAAACATGTTCAAACATTAAACTCTCAAAAAAGTAACATACCTATACAAACTACACGGCCATACACCCATACACCACAAAAAAGAACAACTAAAACTGCATTTTATCCCAATTTGGATGATTGATCTTTCTTATATAATTTCTTACCATGTTTATTTACATTAAACACTATTAATAATCGAAGTTATAAAAATATTTCTTTGAATTTATTACTAAGATTGCTTTTCTAAATAAGGAAAATAATATTTTCGATTAAAAATAAAATCATCAAATTGCAAACTGCATCACGAAATGGAAGTTTAATAGTCAATTATAAAAATAGCTTGTTGTCCTGATTCGCCTCATTTTTTTAAAACCAGATTCTAAAAAAGGATAAAAAAATACTGTATGAAAAAATAAACTTTTTATAAATAAGGCAAATTAACAATAGTATAAGATAAATCTTTTGTCGTTGAATCGCTTAAGAAAATACGCAAATTTTGTTTTTTGCAAACTTACTGATGCATTTTGGTACTTTTAATGCATTTGGTATTCCTAAAATAAGATTTTTTTTACAATAATGAAGCACAATCATTTAAAATGTTTTATCAAAAAAAAAAATTGAAAAAAATTATTTTTAGCTGAGATATAAAGCTTCAAGCATAACTGTCCCCTTATGCCACACTGTTTAGATACACCCCGCTCTACCCTACAAATTTTTACATTTATAATTATTATTTTCTTATTTGCTCAAGTTTTCGACTTTATTGGCTAGAATAAACAGCTTTGTTTTAAAAAAATACATTTAGAGATTTTTTTTTTTAAAATACAGATTTTCTTCACTAATCACTTATTTAAGCAAATACTTTTCTTTTTTCATAATTCAAAGTTTTTACAGAACATATCTAACGACCAAATATTTTTAATTTGAAATGAAGGAAATTAACAAAAAGTTCCGGCAAATGTTCTCAAAACTTTAAAAAAAAAAAGTATGAAACAATTATTACCTTCGATCTTACATTGACAGTGACTTATAATAAAACATCCTATAAAAAGGGTTTTCATAAGATGCTTCGTTGACATTAGGGTCCGTTTTTTATACAATAAATTCTGTATTTGAATCTTTGTTATTTCACATCTTTAAACTTTCTCTTGAATTAAATATTGTTTCTGATAAGTCGAAGTTACACTAATTTTTAGGTTGACTTCAATACCAGTAATTTCAAGTAACAAAGCAATCTCTATCTTGAGATTGCTTTGTGATTTGAGATTACTGAAATTTGAGACCCTGATTATCTAATGAAGAACGACATGTTGTTTAGAAAGCAGTTCGGTTTTAAAAAAATGAATTGACTTAGTAGTTGAACTACTCAACGTAGTTAGGCGAATTAGCAAAACTTAAATCAAAATTTTTTATAAAAATTTCATCTTTGACAATCTGTAAATTAGGTTTTAAATAAAACAAACGTTTAAAACAAATTTATTTTAGTTTAATAAAACTTCTGCTGCTTTTATTTTTAAAAAATTTCTTAGAGGTTTTTTTTTGTTTATGCAGAACTTAAGTTCTTATTGAGGGTTTTACTCAGGGGCGTGTCTAAGGGATGTCTGCTACGTCGTTGGACCTACCCAAAAAAGTTAAATAACAGTTTTTCAACATGATTATGTTGTTGAAAAAAGTTTTACTATATGTAAGTATTAAAACCAAACTACAGCTAAAACTAAACAAATTATGTACGGTTATTTATCTGAAACGGCCGGAAAAAAATTAAAAACCGGAAAACATAATACTATATCGGTTTCATAATTTTGCGATTATTAAAAAATAATATTTTCAATATTTTGATTGAGGTTAAACTAACTTTTGAGTAAAATAACATAATTAAAAACTTGAATTTGACCTTATTTTATTTTGTTATATAAAACTTTATTTTTTAAATTTTTTCTTTCATTAGTTTAAAAAAAATCAAAATGATTATTTTATTTAGAACAAACTTTGGACTTCTTTTTTAACATACACAATGAATAGAATTTTTATCAAGTTTTATTGTTTAACTATCACGAAGAGATAAAATTAGTTAGTAATAACAAGTATATATCAAAATATATCAATGGACACCCCCAGTTTTATTACACTAGACTGTGTATCATTTTAATAACTTGCATTTTAAATAATATATAAGGAGAAAAAATGTTTTAAATATGGAAAATAAAATTCTAGGGTTCGGAAAAAGTTGTATGTGCAGATATTCACCGATAAATTGTGCGCATAATTATGCGCATACTTATGCGCATAACTTTTCAATTTCAAATCATAAAAAACCGTTCAATTGTTTTAACTAGACAAACAAAAAACGAATTTTAATTCTAGTTTTCATGAAATTTTTAATTAATGTGCTTTTGAAACGAAAAATTCATCAATTTTAATAGTGGCATAAAAAGTTAACAACATTTAATTCCTCTATTAAATCTCTTTAGTTACCGCACTTTTATAATTCATAACTTTAAAAAATTTATAGTTTAAAAACTGCTACTTCCTCTAAAATGTAGTCATTTTTATCGTTTGTATCCATCAAAACACTATTGGTAGGGGAGAGTGGGAAGAGGTGGGACACGTAAAGTTAGGGTTTTTTAGGGTAATTGAAATATCTTTTTTATTTGATGTATTTGATCAAATAAAAAAGATATTTCAATTTTTACAAATTTCAATCCCCTTAGTTTTCCAGCCAATTATAACTATATGTATATAAATTTTTGCTTTTAGAGAAACCGTGCCGTTGGGGTAATGTGGGACAAGTATGAGTAGAAAAGGGACAAATAAATTTAAAGCAACATTTTAAAACAAATTATTAAATAGAAACTGATAATATCATAAAATCACCTAATCGACATTTAGTTGTTCAAGAGCTTTCACCAATCGATATAATCAAATGGCGACGGGAAGAAGCCGGCATAAATAATTATTTTTTCTGTCCCACTTCACCCCAATGTAAACACTTTTTTAAGGTACATTTCAAAATTTGGGCTTCTAGCGCACGCGAGGAAACAAAGCAATTTCTGATAAATAGAGGGGATTAAATTTAATTTTTTACATAACATTATTTAGGCACCACTCCTAATTAGAAATTTTAGGCTGTCCCACTTCTCCCCCACTCTACCCACTCTACTCTATTATAAACTGTCCAGTCTTTGAAGTTGCAAAATCTATTATTGAAATGATTTCGTCAGCTTAAGCAGAGAGAACTTGGTCGATTTTTCGATTTATTCATTGACGATTGAGAAATCTCTTGACAAACGAACGCATAAAATAACTAGTTTTCATATATACCAACAGTGTATTGATGGATACTAACGACAAAAATGGCTACATTTTAGAGGAAGTTGCAGTTTTTAGCGAGCTTAAGTGTGAAGAAATTTTAATGAGCAAATGTAATACAAAAATAAATTAAATTGTTAAGTTTTGTGATATAGAAATTCGTTTAAAAATCATGAAAATAATTTGAAATATTTATAAATAAAATTAATTATAGAAAATTGAATGAAAAATTTTTTTTTTTAATTTAACGTCACCTGCGTTTGATTTAAAAAACATTTTCTTCTATATTTGACAATATTTAATTAATTTTATATAGCATTTATCTGTTAAATTTGTATGCGCATCATATGCATAATTATGCGCATAACTTTTGAATGGTATACGCATATATTCGCAGATATGCGCATAAGTTCCGAACCCTATAAAATTTGGATTTTAAACATACACCCTGATTAATTTGCGTTTTATTAAATTATTAAATTTTATTAAACATATAACATGGTCGTTGATTAGTTCAAAATGTCGTTTAATTCGCAAGTTTATATAGAATTTTAAAGAAAAAGTTAGTATGTTAAAGAAAAACATAATTTTCTTTAATATTAGGCGATCAAATATTATATTAATTGTGTAGAATTTTTGATATCACGATATCCTTTGGATACAAGAAAGGAAGTCAGAAAGTTATTACAAGTAGGATTTGTTTATGATTGTATCGATAAAAACTAGTATTTGTTCTTTGGTTTTCTTTGATAATCAAGAACTTGTGGCAAAAAAATTAGAATTTCTATATCCTGATTTTAGACTTATTAAGTATAAATTTTAATAAGCTATATTGTTCATCCTTTATGATAATCACGAGGATCGTAATAAGAACTAAGATGAACCACATAAAGGAAAAACTTGTTTATTTAGTGTTTTAATAAAAGCTATTACTGATTTTTCGTGTTATAAAATGTGAATTTGTCTCATGGATACTTTCAAAAGTTTTTTATTCCTGTGGTTTTCTATCTCAAAG